GTGTTGAGCCACTGTATGTATTCCACCTGTCATTTTTATGTTGCATGTGCACAGTTATAGGTTTGTGAAATGTGATCTACATCATCGTCTTTGAAAAGTCAAATAAAACTTGTTCTGTATTTTGTCAATTGTCACTTTGGTTCATTCATCTATACTGCTGAATTGAAAGTCATTTCATTTGGTGAAAATAATAAATTAATAACAACACCTGCACAAAACTGATCAAAAACTGCCCAAAATATTTTAAAGCTAACAGCGATAATAAGTGAGAAAACGTGAGAAAAGCAGAATCACCATAGAAACAGATGAACAGCTCAAGGTGAGCTTTTCTCAAAACAAAGCAAGAGAAACAATGCTCTGTGGAGGTGGAGAGACAAGGCGCATTCTGTATATATGCATGCTTACCATATGTCTCAGATGGAGGCATCCTTCAGTTCAAGGTTTATGCTTCTGGACTCATTTTACCTCACTGTAAGTTGGACACTAATCAGTAATTTAAGTTTGCACTGTGATGAGGGCTATGTAACGTAAACAAAAGTGCCAAGTCCATTCATATTTGCAGATAATAGATCATTGCCATTGGAAATGTGAAAGCTATGATTTACAGATTCTATGTTTCTGCTGTTCTTTAAGCTGATTGACCCACATAGCTGAGAACCACTGCTGATCTGAAATCTTGTTTCCTGCGTGAATGAGTCTGGTGAACCAACAGCGTGTTTTACTCTCTGTCCTCCAAATCTGAGAGTATGACGTCGGTCCATATAGCCAGAAGCATCAGATTTCACAGTGCCCGCAGTGAATAGATAAAGCTGCGGAAACACATGATGCTTTTATAGCTTACCAAAATAACTTTAAGGCAGAAATTCAAATGCTTGTTATGCTCTCGTCACGTCAGAGGAGTATTTCAGTTCTCTTTTACAAAGGTAAAAATGACAAAACATCCTATTGTACTGTTGTACATAAAATCTTATTTTAGATTACCTTTGTATGAACCCCCAAAGTGTGCAATATTAGATAGAAAAATAAATTAATAAGACATTATAAAACAACTGATACAAATGAATTGAGTAAAATATAAATATTAAAAAAAAACAATTTAATTCATTTTATTTATACATATTTATTTAATTGCAGACATTTTCTTTTTAAAATGCTATTCCATGACAGAGGAGTCACTGACCTCTCATCTCGAAACTAATTATGCTCTCCTTACAGGCTTAGCAACCTCTCCAAATGTAGCCAGCTAGCTCCAGTTTGCTAGAGCAATGAAAATGTTGAGAAAAATGTCAAATATTAAATTAATTTAGGTTTCATTTTTTCGTAGCTTAATTATCAAATTATTTCCTTGGATACCAATAGCTTGATTGATTGGGAGATAACCTGGAGGGGCAATCCTGAGCTGAGAAGTTCGCGTGAGGTGAAGGTTCACCGAGGTGTTTCCGCTGTAGCCAGGTGGGAAAAGACGCAAATTTAATGGGAATTAGGGCCGGCAAATGTGCTCTAGTTAAACAAAGAAGGAGAAGGAAAAAACGATTAACAGCGATTAGTTTAAGTGATTGTTTAATGTGCTTATTAGTCGTGAGTCATGATAGCAGAGGATATTGTTTTTTTACATTATTACGTCATTCAGAGTGGAAATGTGAACATGATCAATTAAGTCAGTAGTCGATATAATGGTTATACTTGGAGACGCATGATTAACTGGTTTATTTAAAAGCTGTGGTTAAAGTTGAATTATTATTATTATTATTATTGTTAAGATTAATCTTCATTCTTAGATGAACAGCTTTATTTATTTGGATGTGATTAATAACTTTATTTTTGATCATGTGCTTTTTTTCTGGTTGCGTTTAAAGGTTATCAACCTATTAAACTCCATTGATGATGTATGAATTATAACTGATGTGTTGTGGAAAACTAAATAAATTCAAAGAAAGAAGATTTTAAGGAGCGAGTTGTCCAAGTGCCCTCTGTCATCTCCTAAGCCTTTTTCGAGTTTAAGGCAGTCACTGAAGCCACACCCCAGATAACTCGACAGACAATACCAAATTAAATACTGAATTGCTGCTGCTGCTGCTGCAAACGTACATGGTACACAGGAACAGCAACCAATCTCCACTTTTTCTTCTATTTAGCTCAACAAGGATGTAGATGCTTCCTAGCTTCACAGCTATCCATAAATGTCTGGAATTCGACTTTTTCTGTCTGCAGTCACCATTCATTGTGTGCGTTTTTGTACTGGACGCACCCTTGACCCAAACATTGTCCAAACTGCATCTCAATCATTACCCTCAGCACCACAGCGACAGCCAAAAGGCAGAGCAGCAGCTTGCTCATCAACAGTGGCGCATGGCCTGATCAGTGAAATAAATTCCTAAACGCAAATGAAAACTCACAGATCAATAACAAAAGAAATGCTGTGTTTTCATCTTAGCTGGGATATGTGTCAAGCAGATTGTGTGACTTGCAAAGCTGCTACGTATGTGTAAGTGTCAAATAGTTGAATGGTTGTGGACGCATTTGTCCAGTATTTATCCCCCCTGATTTTTTGGTTTACATTTTTTAGTTTCTTCATGGCCAAGGCACTGAATTGACAGACTTTCTGACTTAAGTGGATGAGATAATTTTAAAATAATCAATTTATTTAAGTTTTTATCAAAACTGCGTAATACATTTAAATCTAAACTTTTTTTGTACCCTTATTTAACGTCAGACAATGCTATGAACTGTGGGTTATTCTCTCAGGCTGAGTCTGCAGAGAAGCAGACTTATGGAGACTGTGCATAAAGGGTTCAAAAAGTCTGTGAGAGAGTGTGACAATTTGACAGTGGGACAGCCCTAAGCCCTCACACTTACCAGGAACGCGTGTATGTGTGTAGCATACATGAACAGCATACCATTCGATGCTACTCGAATAAACGAATCCTACTTCCTGTTTGAAAACGCCAGTTCTCCTGCAGCTTGTCGCCTGATTGTTTCAGCCCTGCAGTGGTCATGTACCTCCCGGCTAACTTGGTTCCAGTGAATTCTTTTGTGTTTTTGTGGTTGTTGCCTAGTGTTGCTGACGTGTGTTTTCCTGTGCTCCAGAATTGCTGCCCTGTGCCTTTCTTCATCGCTCACCACCAGCTGGACTACGGCAGACTGTCGTATGCTTTAGTCAGTCTTGCCAACACAGAACGTTTGTCAGTAAAGACTTTTACTATGCCTGTGTGTCCGTTTCTAGGTCTGCCTTAACTGAACCATGAACAACTTCCTTTTGAAAACTATACATTAAATAATATGTATTGAGCAAAACATGGTCATTATCAGGATGAAAGATGGGAATTTAAATGGTGCGAGAGATTTTTGTGGACATGTTGAGAACATATTGGCCCCCATTTTATTTATTTTTGTCTGAAATGACAGCTGTGACAGTGGCTCTCCTGACGTGTTAGAAGGGAAGTAATCTAGCCACCTTATTACGGTGGAACCTTTTTTTGCACTCACGTCTTCTCTTGCAGCCACTTTGATGTCAGACAAATGACTGGGGTAAAAACATTGTAGTTATGATTTAGCTGTAGCTTTCATGCCTTTTTCTTTATGAGCCGACACAGCTTTGACTACTTCCTCTCATCTTATGTTACTATATTAGCACAGTACAATGTCATCACTGGCTTTCCTCCCAAGTAATACTGTTTGCATTCAGTAACTTGTGAAATGTCACCATTTTAAAGCCAAACCTTTTCATTTTTTTAATAATAGCCTGTCTAGTTATCATGTATTTTTGTGGAGAGGAGATCACAAAGGAGAAATACTATGACAATTAATTAAGTTATAAGTTAGGTTATAGTGCCAGTGTTAGAAAAGAGGCAAGAAGGCTGTTGGAGGGAAAAAATTATTTGGTTCATTTTGATCTGAAAACAGGCTCAGTTTTAAACTCATGCACCTGCAGAGTAGTAGATGTGCTTTTTGGAGAAGGCACAATGACTTTTCTGCCAGAGGCCTCCTATGGGACTACCTGGTGTTAGAATAGACTGCAGCTCAACAGGGATCTGTGGCTGTAAAATCATTACGGCTACAATCCAGTTGCGACTATGCAATCCAGCTCTTACACTTGGTTCTGTTTTGTTTGTTTTTTGTTTTTTTTGTGGGGGGGGGGGTGGGTTGCCTGTGAAAGGTTTGATCAATACATATGAAGTAGTTGCAAGAAACAAGGTCTGAAAACCAGCTGAAAGGGCTGATCACCTGGAGATATCTGAAAATCCAAAATCTGACTTGTTACCATTGATTCACATGATTTATATGTACCAACAATCATCATGATTCATTCATGGTCTTTATTAGTAAAATCACTGTGATCAGCTATCATACACTGTATATCAGAGTCTTCCATGCATCTTCTTGAGGTTTGGTTTGTTTATATAGTAATACATTTTAGATGAATTTAAGTTTTTATGATCCCTTTAAAATCAATAAAGGTGTTGGCCCTAGTTTACATGTTGCAAAGCTTACTCTTAGATGTACAAGTAAAAGTATTTTCTCTGATTCAGATCTCTCTTAAGTCAAAAGGTAGTTCTATCTCCTTAAGATGTGACTAACGGCTCATTTCACACACTTTTATAGTAAGAATTCTTATAGTAAACATTGGTGAACAGTTCATGACACACCCGTAATGAGCCATAAAGGCGTAGATGATCAACACTGCTAATGGTCACTTAATTACTGCTGATTGTTAAAAAGTTAGTTTTAATCATTTACTTTTACAGCTTGTTAATTTTACATATTATACAGGCTACAGCTCAGTGACACTATGTGATTTAATACTAGAATGCAATATCACAACAACTGACATTGCCTACAGGGTATTACTATGTTCAGCAGATTCACATTTATATTTCATATACCTTATCTTCAGTTGTCCATTTTTTTCTTTTTACATATTTTTATGGATCAGTAAATCTTCATCAGTAAAATTTTAATCAATGTATCACTTTCAAATTGGGCTGCTTGTTATATCTGGGTATAATTACTGTGAATAAATGAGAATACTGTCGACTGGTAGCTCAAAGCAGTGAGGTAGTTTCTCAAAATTACAACCACTTTTCTCATAAATAATAGTTTATTTGTTTTTTATGCATGTTTTTTTGTGTTTGTGGAGGTGTAGAATGGTTTTACAATTTTGTAAAAATGCCAGTGCGGTACCAACCTTGTCTCCTACAAATGCATTTCTTTAAACATTTATATACTACAAAAAATACATTTCATAGGAAGTAATATTTCACTACTCAAAAAAACACCCATCAACACAATTCAGGCAGCAATAATATTTCCAATCAAAATCAGAATCAGCTATATTTGCCAGGGATGCATTACGGAACATAATCCAGAGGCAACAGTCTGCATTGCCATCTTGATATCACAAGGTAATTTGGAAAACTTAGTATTATATAAGCGTAATATCTAGAAAACAAGGTTGGTAATAGCTACCCTAAAAAAAATACACACTACAATTGCCAAGTTCATTTTCATGTGTAGAGGACACTGACATGCCAAATAATGTCTTCATCCCTGTACACCATACAAAGACTCCTCCTCCTTAAAACCCAAATTAGAACATATGCTTGAGTATGGTTCACTCTTATGTATAAAGTATGTGGTTTCACGAAAACCTGTTTGTTAGGTTTATTCCCACGTCAGTCCTTGACCAAGGCACTGGCTTAAATGTGGAGTTGGTCCCCAGGCACTGCACTGTGGTGTCATATTCAGCTCATATGTCAAGTGCAGACACAGGAAACAAGGAGAAGTGTCCAGAAAGCTGAGGAAAGGGGCTAGTGCTCTCAGGCGGACAAACAGAGGGTTGGACACGGGCAGAGCAGGACTCTTTAGGCGGACAACCTGGAGACAGGGCCGAAGATTAAATGGTTATTGCAGGACTGTCACGATCGCTGGGTGCTCAAAGCAGGAGTGTGAGCCCAAATGCAAGACACGAGGAGCAGAGATAGGTTCCAGGGTTTTTAATCAAAGGCAAGACAAACAGGCATGAACAAAAACTCACAGGTACAGGAAACTGGTATATCCAAAACCCAGAATGGGTAATGCAGCAACTTGCAGAACACACAACATACAACAACACTAGACAGACAGGGAATGAACAGAAACACCAAACATATATACACAGGGTCTAACGAGCAGGGTGGGAGCAACACAGGTGACCAGGATCAGGGCTAACGAGGCAGAGGGACAGCAGGGGAAAACAGAGAGGCAGGCAGGCAGGAAGAGAGATAACTGGGGGAACAGACATAACCTAGGTTCCTGGACACTAAACACAGACACAAACTAAGACACAGAACTAAACCTAAGATACATGACAGACAGGTACAAGGTGAGCTAAACAGAACCTGTGAATGAACAATGAAATAAACAAGGCTAAACAGAGAAGACAAGAAAAGGAACAAAACTCCAACAGAAAACATGGACCAACTGTTACACAGACTGGGGTAGGGAACAGAGACAGAACTAACCAGGAAACAGACAACACTCAACAAGAAACAGAACGGAAATAAGGAAAATACCAAAACACCACTAAACACTAGCTGACAGATAATAACTAGATGAATAATAACCCAGACTAAATAACAGACACCAAACTGATCAATAAGTAAACTCACAGTAAACTAAATTCAACAGAACGGAACTAAAATATAGATGCAAAACCCAAATCTTAGAATAAAGAACACAGAGTGGATAAGGGAGACAACATAACAGGACAACACAGACAACAGACAAGGATAACAGAAAAAAAACAGATTAACACAGAACCAAACGGACAACAAAATGGCAGAGATCACCATAAACAGAGAGCGGACACAGGACCGCAGACAAAACAGAACCAGGCAGGACTGGTGGTACCTCTATGGTATCACTGGATCTCTGGGGGGCTGGCCAGCATAGTCTCTAGAGTGCTGGATAGCTGAATCTCAGTCTCTGGGGTGCTAATCGGCTGAATTTCTGGGGAGCTGGACAGAAAAGTCTCTGGAATGCGGATCAACTAAGGTGGGATACTTGCTGGAAAGGAAAGCAGAGAGCTGGAAACTCTGGACTCTCTAATCAGCTCAGGAATGGGGTTGACTCAGGACCGGATGGCTGTACACTCACGACCCTGTGTCAGCTGGGTCCATACTTTGCTTGGATTCTTCTGTCATAATCAGCTCATATGCCAAGCACAAACATTGGGAACAAAGATTTGGATCCAAATGCAGACCTCCAGGCAGAACAGATTTGGTGTAATATATAACAATATGTAATGTGCACATAACAAAAGGTGAACAAACTTACATCCATGGTGAAACAAACAGTCCAAAACGTAAAGTCCCCAAAAGATCTGAAAGAAAAGCAATAACTCATACAGAGAAAGAAGGCAAAAATCAAAACACAAAATCCATAGAATCCAAAATAAACAAGGAAAACAGGCATAGACACTGAACGGAAATGATGAGATAATGAGAAGACACAGCCTTAAATACACAACAAGGAGGTGATTAACAAGGCACAGGTTGAACTAATTTGGGAGAAGCAAATAAATTAATGCGAAAATGACAATAAGACTTAATTTAACCTAAGAACATTTAACATCCCAGTCAAATCACACTATTATCCAGAAAATACAAGCTATATTGTATATATGCACATTGTGCCTGTGCAGCTTATTTAGCTGTCTGCTTATTATGTTCTTTGAAACCAATTGTGGAACACTTTTCACTTTATTCCCTTTTAACTGCTGAAAAAAAAAATACATTATGTCAGCCTGGCTTGTTTTTGCCAATGTGACATCTTAGCTGTTATTGCTTGGTCTTGTTAGTCAACCAAAGGCTATGACTTTGATAAACTTGGTTTCTTATATGCTAAAAAATATTATTTGTACTTGGAGTTCTTTGAAGCATAATTTTTTTGTTATACTGAGGGAGAAAAGACCATTACAAATCTCTAATACAGTAGGTCTATTATAAATGAGAATTAATTATGAATTTAAATATGAAAACTTTCCTCAGGGTCTTGACTTGAGAATATTTACTGACAATTTTGTTAGTGAGCCTGGGGTCAGACTGTTTTTTTCCAAGGCAGGTGTTTAAACATGCAGATATAAAGACATTACTGAAGACATTCACTTCTACTATAAACAGGTCTGTAACTGCATAAATTAATGATAAAAATACTGTAGGTGTAGTTCAGACAAATGCACAAAAAATCACAAACAAGTGTACAGAGTCTCTTTTTATGATCCTCTCTGGCAATGGTAAATAAGACTTATTAAACCATGTTTTCACACAGTAACGTAACAAAATCTTTACCTGTATACATTGCAGTCGTTTAATATGAGGTCATCTAATCTGTTATATTTAGAAGGTAAACAGCCAGATTTTCATGCTGAAATTGTTATAAAAAAGGTTTAAATGAAAGTTTTCTTCAAATTAAAGAAGGTTTTCACTGACTACTGCTGATTGATGTGCCATGCACGTGAGTTGCTGCTGATCCTGAGCAGTTTCCCCAGACATGTCACGTTTGACATAGCCATGGGAAGTAGGGGTGCTGAGGATGCCGCAGCAATCTCCACCCCTAGGTCATATATATGGTGGTACATTCATTTGAAATTATGATTCTATTTATTACTTTCAGCTCAGGTTCATATGCTTGTTTATCATAATGAAACAACTTCTTCCATCTTCTTTTGTGTACTTGTAAATTCTTCTTAACTTTAATGTAATTTGCTCCATTTGATTGTTCCCTATTATTTCTTTACAGTTGTATGAGTTGACTTCTGTAACCATAATTTAGTTAAACGTTTCAAAGCACAAATGACTTTTGTCATGGCTGTTGGAAGTAACGGTACACAGTATAGTCTAAATCTTACACAGATCTTATGACAGAGCTTAAAGAGTGTTTGAGCAGTGCACATTACTCCACAACTAAAGCTGCACAAATTAACACAAGCAGCATCAAAAAACTGCATCACAGCTTTTAAATAAAACCATTTCTTTTCTTTTATCTAAATATCTAAATCACGAATAATGTCAATGATTAAACCTGCTCAGGGATACCTGAATTTTGGAGAGAATGATCTATAAATACTTTTTGTGAAAATTGATTGGGAGCATGACTGACTAATTGTACATCAGGCTACAACCTGTCCCCTGAATCTTGAAAATGACTTTGTTTTCACTTTAAAAGTATTTTTGCAACTTGTTGCTGTTTTAAGATCACTTGATTTTTTCTTGTTGAATTGTATAATAGAAAGAAATGAAAGACAGGAATGTTAGTCTTGGTCTTGGTGTGATCTTAACTATCTTTTGCTGGTTAACGGTCCATTACTCTATTTATTTATGGTAGTTAAGTTAGTTATCTAAGTTATGCATCCTTTGTGGGTTTAACTATAATTAAATCATCTGACATGGTAGGCGAAGGACCTGACTGGTACACGAGAACTGTAAACTTAAACTCTGCCCAACCATATCAATTGGATAGTTCTTGAGCCGGTGGCAATGAAATAACTTTGTATACAATTACAAGGTAATTCAAAATTAATGCAGTATGTCAATATATTTTTAAAACCCAGAAATCAGAGGAAGTAATACATTAGAATTGACCTATCTATACATAATAAAAGTGACTCAATAAGTACTTTAAAAGTGCAACGCAAATACATTTCATCCCCTTTGACCCTTAAATCCACACAGAGAGACACTAATACAATATGGCTAAGATAAACTAAGGTGTTATCATGGAGATGATTACAGTCATCATGTGTATGCTAATGTATTATATATGCTGTGTTAGGCCATGGTCTGCTTCACACCCTGGGTAAGACAAGAGTCATTCATAATTGATACCCAACGTTTACTGCAAGCCCAGGTGTGTTGCAGGAAATAACCACTGACCCAATTACAGTTTGCATCCAGCATGCTTTGGTTAATTTGTGTAAAAGCCATAATTGCTCTTGGTTTTATAATTCATGAACAAGGGCGTGCGGCACTGGCAGAGCACCAGCATCTATTACTCAACCACCCATGAGTGCATCCTCGCACTGGCTCTACATAGACAAATAGTAAACATGTGCGTGTGTGTGTGTGTGTGTGTGTGTGTGCGTGCACTCACACACATGCATATACGCAAACACAAAGCCTGTGAATGCACTTGGGCTAAATGGTTGCAGATGTTAATATTGTGAGTGAGAAAGATTATGAACTTGAACTCGGGTGAGTTGCCACTGGGAGATACTAATGTGTTTTGACTGTTGTTGTTTTTTTTTCCTACAGGTGCTGCTGCCATCAGAAACGATTGGCAGCTGGTGGGGAGTCAACATGCCCATTGTTAACATCATTGGCCATAAAGAGAACCTGCACTATGTGCTTGAGTATGTAGTGTTTCTGGGTTGGCACAGATACAATTTCAGCGATTTACTGGTAAGTATTTTTTCCTGCTTCTCCACATTCCTTTGCTTCTTGATTCACTAAAGTAATATTTCTGAGTCAGTTTTCTGGTCTGATGGCATAGTTTTTTTTTGTTTTTTGGTATAGTTTTCTTGCCATCATATAGACAATGTCACATTGGAAAAAACAAGATGCTTTTTTGTGAAACAAATTAAGTGTTAATGAGTACCTAAAATTTGTTCTGACAATTAGAGAGCTTTCAAGTTGTCATGAATTTGAGTGTGGTTATACACACATTTTAAATTCAACTACTTGATTCCACCAGCCGCCAGAGCTGTTAGCAGCCATTGTAGACGAGACTTATTGTTGGGACATCACTTTATGGGAAACGAAGAAGCATGTAGGCCAGCATACATATAAAACAAAAAGCCAGGAACAAAAAGATGGCATCAAAATCTCTCTGGTCCATTACATCACCAATGATTGTGAGATTAAGTTGAATCAAAATACTAGATTCCTATTGGCTGAGCCCCTCAAGGGAGCACAGGAGCCCCCTGTGGTGTGGCCATGATGTCACAAAACCCCCAAAAAAGTGAATATATTCCACAGTTTCTTCACAGAGAAAAAGCATCATGTATTATTGCTGCGTGCCATTAACTGCGCTTTATCAAGACCAGCTGCTGAATGCAAGTTCACTGCTGGTTCCTGTGTGATAAAGTCTTAATTACTGTG